TGCTCGGACCCCAAGTTCCTAAAATCTTGGGTATGCGAAGAAAAGAATTTCACTGTGTGAAAAGAATTTAACTATGTATATGTGATCAATAAAGAATCATTATCATGTCGCTGTTGATTCTGATTGGTCAGAAGGTGGTGATTAACCTATTTGTTCAGGCCCCCTAGTGGTGTACAAGTCTGAATATTGTGCAAAGCTTTCATTAAAAAATAAATAAATGACAATATCAACAAAAGCTATGTATCATCCTTTAAAGTAATAAGTTGTCTATCTGCATATGAAATTTGAGCTTTCTCTCTCTTTGTTGTGGAGCACTCAGATATGTGGCCTTGATATTTTCTGCAGCTGTGACATTATTCCAGCTGTAAGGTTTATATAAATGTGCTAGATCTAAAATGTCCGCCATTGCCGGTCCCAAGCCCGGATGCAAAAGGGAGGATTGGGCGTCAGGCTAGCAACCCGTCCCCGTAAAAACCCTAACCACTATGGAAACGACGGGAGGGATTTCTCTCTCGTCGCCCGATACGCTACTTAGCATGGGTGGAAAAGAAGAAGAAGAAGATCTAAAACATTACTGTCTATATAGTAAAAAGGCTATATGGCTAGATGGTATATGACTTGTATGGCAGATGCTCCACATAAACGTTTTTACTGACCATGTGTAATTCTCTATATGGTTTCTTAATATGATAAGTTTTCTGTTTATGTAGCATTATGGAAGGAGTCTCCAGCGTCAACAAAGTGGACCAGTCAGAGAATAGTCCGTAAACTATTCACGAAAGAGAGCTTCGCACTGTGGACATCGGACAACATTAAATGTAACTATAAGGGAATAAAAGGTATGATAAGTACTTTTTAGATATACTTTCATATATCACAAAACAAAACAAACAAACAAGAACAATGCTGGAAAACTGCTATGGTATAAGAAGAATAAAACACTTCAGGTAGCACTGTTACTGGAAACAAATTAACTTCAGGGTATTAACAACTCACATCACCTCACTGCTGAATATTTTGTTATAACAGCATGCCCCATTGTGATTTATTTATCTTACTTAATCATGTTGTGAAGTTACCTTATGGAATTTTCACACTTGGCCTGAATACTGGAGGCCACACCCAGGACTGATTCTGGACTCATATGGGAAAGAGGCTCATAATCACAGGTTTGCTTTCATATAGAATGATTTCTTCTGAACCAGGGGCATTAGCTGGAGTATCAATCATCCTAAATGTGAAAATTTGACAAAAAGTTGGATTTATCATAAAACGTGCCATAAAATCACTATTTGCATGATTATCCGACTGATACAATATAAACCTCTTTGGGGTTTGTAGCATTTGGCAGAATCGAGAGCTGTCAGCCAATAAGACATGAGTATTTCCACGTTTTTTAACGTGTAAACCCTGTCTAACTGGTCTTGCCTCAGTTCCCCGAAGATAAAATACAACACGCTGTTCACTAAAGATACAAAATGACAACACTGCCGTCTTCTTTTACTGACATTCAGTTACATAGTGAGAAACTATTCCATGTGGAGAATTATTTGGGCTACAACCCCGAGTGCCCAGGCCAGTATACGCCCTGTTCTGAATTGTATATTGACTGCACAATTCCATAAATCACTTTTGTGCATGCAGGTTCACGAAACAGTATGTACTAGGTTAATACATTTGCTGTTTTTTTCCTGATAGTACCAAACCAGTGAACTAAATACAGTGATTCACTAATATAAAAGTCTGGGCTTATCAGTCAGGTGACCTGTTTCCTCTATTGTCCATAACAAACCTTTCCCCACAATCACACAACTTCAACCAGTAAGTATTATGACAAGCCAACCCAATCACATTACGTGGCATCAAGGCAGATCGCTTTCACACCTGATTCAGACTGCACTACAGTTTGGTTGAAGCAAATCTCAGGTCACTGTTTTTAAGAGGATCTTGAAAGGATGAGCTCTCACACTCTCAGGCTGAAAATAGAAATGTAATGGAAATCAAAACACTGAAACAAAATGTTCAATCTTTCTTAATGTGATCCTAGACAGTTTCTCTTTCCAGTGCATTAGCAAAAGTTCTGATTGCACAAAACGTATAAAAGTATTTGCCAGTGTGCTTGGAAAAAAGCTTTTTCTCAGAAAAGGTGTAATTAAAGATGTTGCATATAATGTATGTTCAAGCAAGTTGACTATGTGAATTGTGTTAGAATAGCTACATATATAAAAGAAAATGGTAAATAATTATTATCTCCAACTAAAATTAATACTGTCTTTATGAAAAGGTGTGACGCCATAATCACACTTAAGTCTTTTATTCTCTCTGACCTCCTCTCCCAAAGCCTGTGCGTATTCTCTCATCTTTCTTTCATCTCTCAATACAATGATCCATACAAAAGCCTTAGAGAAGTCTTTGGGAATTTGATGAATAATAATAAAAAAGATACTGTGCTGCCTGATCACCTTATATATACTCTGTCATGGGGATATCTGCTCTCTTTTCCACCCTTTGTTCCTGTTGGTTTGCAGTAATTGTTTTCTTCGCACATTTCCATTTTGACTGAAATTTCTGCTTTATCTGAAGTTCTAAAAATGATAATGTCTCTCTCTACCTGGGTTTTTTTTGATATACTTTGTACAGAGCAATGAAAATGATTGCAATTTTCCTCCCCCCCGACTTCCATTTCCTCACTCTGCAATTGCTGAGCACGGGTATTACTCTTATTCTACTCTTTGTGCTTCATTACTTTTATTTAATCACATCTATCTATTATCTGAAACACCAGATGTGTTAGCATTTTCCCACCAGATGCATGTTCTGTCAATAAATGTGTGATTTCAGGCATCAGACAGATATTTTATTAGTATGCGTTAATGTATGTCAAAGATGAATGTGTTAGTCATATGCAAGTCTCAAGTCTGAAACATTTGAACAACTTGCCAGCTGAGACAGAGCAAGATGATGTGTGCTCAAAGTTTATGAGCAAGCAATTAAAAGGTCACTTGGGCTATATATTTTACATGAAATTTGTTACTTAGTTATAATCCACATGAATATGAGTATACTGTTGCCTCCACATGAGGCAAGATGATCATTAATTGTGCAAGACCAAATTATTTCTTAAAAGGCAAACATTATGTTGTTTGCAATGACAATAAATTAGAGGCAGAACCCAGCTGTTGGACAGAAAGCTGAATAGCAGTTCGAGAAATCAGGCTTAGATTAGGTTGTACATCTTCAGCAGATTTACTCAGGAGAGTTTCCCTGGTTCTGAACTTTGCTTTCTAATCAAGAGACACTGACCAGTCGAAAACAAAAGACTGTCCCTGGATGTACTCACATGGACATATGGAAACACACACACACGCACATACAAACACACACACACACACACACACACACACACACACACACACACACACACACACACACGCACACACATTGAGCTCTTCTACACACAGCAAGACTGGTTACTGTGGATCTCTGTTCCTGGTAGTGAATAATGGGGCACTGAATCATCTCCATGACAGTCCTTAATTACAGCCACATAAAAATCAAGTGGTGTTTTCTAGCGCAAACTGGCTTGACCCACTCCAGTTATAAAATGGTAGTTATATGGAATGTGGTGGGGAAAAACAACACAAACAGAAATTTCTAAAATCCTGCAAGACAAGCTTAAGAAAGTGAAAATGTTTAGATGAATCAATAAGTCAATCCATCTGGTTTCTTGCGTGTAATTATTGCACAATGGGGGATCTGAAAGTACTGACTAACACACTGACTAAATTTCCACCCATTAACCCCCCAAAAAAAACCCCCAAAAAACAAACAAAAAAAAACATGATGATTTATCCATGGTACTGCCTTCCCTAAGTGCCTTATAGGATGCATCATGTCTTATACTTTCATTTCTCTTATTTCTTTAATCAGTGATCTCGAGTAGCCAAGCAGAGTTGTGCTGATTGATTTCTCTGCGCTTGACTGGTTGATTCATAACATACTAATGGATCCCAAAAAAGCCACACTCAGTGTGTAAATGAATCATGAGACTCAAGCTAATTAGCATGAAAAATGAACACGCATGTATTAACAATCTAAATGACTAAAGCACTGATGCTGCAGTATGCTAATACATGGCAATCGATCTAGGAAAGCCGTGTCATTCCAATTCGGATGAGTGGCTCTTCATGAACGCTGTTGTGACAAGCTTTGTGTAATTATGAATGCATGGCCAATCAGGCCATTTCCACGGAGGTCTGAGGATCAATGATGAGCATGTATTGGTATTCAAACAACAATGTACAGTATATTTTATAAGGTACTCATAGCATATACTGTAGATCACTTTGTAGGTCTTATTGATTGACTGATTGTATCCCATATTGCTATGCAGAATTTATCAGTATATCTGTTTCCTCTATTAGGGTAAAGGGACCAGCATAGGATCACCTATTCTCACCACCACAGTGACCATATGGCCATTTTGTTAATGGTCTACATAGCAGCTGTTAAATGATCCATGACACACATGCACTGTCACTTCACACTGCAAACTAAGGTGAGATGGCTGCCTAATTCATAATGTTTGAGTACTAAGAAATACTTGGAATTTAGCAAACAGAACAAAACTCACCAATTTAATCAGCGGTAATTGCATCAAGACCAGCATAAACAACCTGACATTTACCTGTGGAGATGAGACTAGAGAGACTGATGTGGATGATGCTTTTCATTAAAGTGATTACTCATTTTCCATCATAGAGTTCTCATCTTTTATAAAGTGTCCATAATGTCAAACATGTTAAATTTAAAAAATAACTGTAGTTAATAATCTATCATTTTCATTTGTACTTAAAAATAGATAAAAATAAAGGCTTTATTATTAAACATGGGAATGGCTCCTTGAAGGGTTGGTCTTCTGAACAGAGTGCAGACTATAAAAACAACAACAATAGCTATTATTATTATTATTATTATTATTATTATTATTATTATTGGGGGACACAGTGGCTAAGTGGTTAGCATAATGTTTGCCTCACACCTACAGGGTTGAGGGTTCAAATCCCACCTCTGCCGTGTGTGTGTGGAGTTTGCATGGTCTCCACTTGCGTTGGGGGTTTCCTCCGGGCACTCCGGTTTCCTCCCCAGTCCATAGACATGCGTTATAGGCTGATTGTCATTTCCAAATTGTCCGCCGCGTCTGAATGTGTGCGATTGCGCCCTGCGATGGGTTGGATCCCTGTCCAGGCTGTCCCGTGCCTTGTCCCCCGAGTTCCCTGGGATAGACTCCCTGCACCACTATGACCCTTTTACATAAAAAACTGAAAATTAGAACAAGAATAATTACAATGTGTCTGAGGATAGAAAAAATTATAAAGATATCAAAAAAAATAAAAGTTTAAAAGATAAAAAAAAAATACTGATTGCGATGCATGTAAAGGTAAGTTTATGTATGTTTTGTTCATGAGAAATGTATGTGTATCAATGATCTATGGGAGATTTTAGACTGACGTGTTAGATAGTACTCTTCACCACCATCATGAATACTCAAGTTGAAGGTATATCTTTTGGAAGAATGGAGTTCATCCCTCCAGTACACTTCCAGAAACTTGTAGAATCAATGCCAAAGCTTGCTCAGTTGCAGCAGCAGAAGCTGAAACTTGCCATCTGTTTGTGTGTGAGAGAACATATGAGATTCGGTACAGGGACTGATCTTTCACCCTTTGCTACTGCTAATATTTCAAACATCTACTGAGCCCTGTGAAGAAGCACAAACGTCCTGCAACCTGGAAGGACAAGCAGAAAGCAGATGATGCCAGGGACAGGGCTGAGGTGCAATCATGTGAAACTGCAGACTCTGCTCAGTGCTACAGTAGCAGTGATGAAATGATGTGGCCTAGAAATTCTAGCCATGATATAAATTTTCCTATTTTTTGTCCAGAATATGAACATTTGTGTGCTAGCCTAGGAAGAACACAGTGATGGCCGTTCAAACTTGTAGGCATGAACCATGCCAACCCAGCATATCATGAAATGCACCAGAGTATAATGCAACAAAACAAACTTTGGGCTTTTGTCGCCTCACAGCTCCAGAGTGCGATCCCGAGCTTGGGTTACTGGAGTTTCACATGTTCTTTCCATTGGAGTCCTCCAGGTTGTCCAGTTTCCTCAAACCTGCCAAAAATATGCAGGTAGGTAGACTGGCTGAGATAAATTGTCCCTAGACGTGAATGAGTCATAACCGTGTATGTGAGTCACCATGGTGACTGATGTTGAGGATAAAGCTCACTGAAGATGAATAAATGAATATAAGAATGTATGATTTCTAGTATGAGTATACATATTGCCCATGCATACTATGACACACAACACAGAAACACAAATAGTACCTCTGCACTGTCACTGTGAAACTACATTGACCATATTTACCAAGCTTGATCAGGCCAATTAGTGACCTGATGATAAGTGCCTTACTCTCTCAAGAGCTGATAAGAGCGAGGCTAATTGAGATCAAGGTTAGGGTTTAGGGGTGTGTAGCATAAAAAATAGCAGTGCTAATCTAATCAGGTGCATCATCCAGGCACAGACTAATCTCTGTCAATTACAACGTGGTTAGAAATGAATCCAGGCTCGAAATAGCCTCCTATTACAACCCTGGCCCAGTTAAGAGAGGGGAAGGAGGAGGGAAAGGAAGAAATGAAAAGGAGGAGGAGGGAATAGGGCTGTTCCTCATCAGCTCCATCAGGGCCATCAAAGACCCATCTGGGAAGTGGCAGCGGTACTTACGCTGAAGAGCACAGGTGTTGCTGTTTAAGTGTTAATTAGATTAGCATGGATCAAAGACAGCCTGGCACTGCTAGAGCACGAACGGGAGGAGAGGAATGGATAGAAGGAGAGGAGTGCTCCTCCAGAGACTGAGGGTTGGGGGGTGGTGTTGCTGAGGGCACGGATTCATTTTGCTGACAGCATCAAATGGATTCATTAGCTGATGAAAGTGTTTCACTTGGAGTTGCTTGAGTTCATTTGGGAACGTGAGAAAGTAACAATATTGAATGACATTACAAACTGTTTATCCTCGACTGGAGATGATGGTGTAGACACCTAGACGTAGTAGCGGACATGGATTAAGGAAAGACTACAAAAAAAAAACCTCTCAACGCACACCATCGGCTCAGTGAGCACGAACGACGTGAACACCGCTAAACATTCATGCACACTGCTATAAGTAACATGCATCATTACCCCACTGCTTGTAAGCATAGCTGAATCTTCTTTTTTGGGGGGCTGGAAAACTCCAGCAGATTCAGTTGATTCAGTCGAATGAGGAAAAAACTGTCAAGAGCAGCATGAGAGATCTGTATCCTTCAGTCCCAGAAGTGTGAGGATTTCTCTAGCAGAAAGCAGGGAAGCCCATGTGCAGACAGCATCTGACAGCATCAGTGGGCTGACAATCTCCCTCTGATTTACCAAACCTGGATTTCCTCCTGCTCAGGTGTTTATTTAACTCTCATATTTGGGGTGGGGGGGCTTTACTCATTGCTATGGCAACAAGCTTGCCTCATGGCGTGACAGAGACAAGCTTATTGTGCCATGCAGTAGACAGACTAGGTTTTGCAGCGTTACCTTTCATGTGGTATCTGTGTATATATACCAATTTGACTGCTGGTTTCTCCTCACAGTTCCACTACACCACATAACTGACAGTATAGAGGGTGAGTGAACATTCTTGCAAGCACTGCGAATATGCAAGTAAAATAGGAACATCTAGAAAGGTCTGAAGATGAGAGAGCTAGAAAGGTCTACTGTAAGGTTGCAATACTTATTCACAGGTCAAAAGAAAAAGTAGGAGAATGCATACTGTACACAGTGCAGATCTGTGCACACTTTATACCATTATCATGAACATCCTGTATTCAGTCATAGCTATAATATTAGGAGATACCACCATATATATTGTTACTCATAAGACCACGGTCGTACCATTAAAGTCACATTAATGACCATACATCTGTAATGCAGCTTCCCCACATTAACATGCTGTCACTAAAACAAGAGAACCATAAATAGCACTTTTTCACCAGACAGAACAGAACGACATGGTGACCAATCCAAACGCAAGACCATATCGTTGTCATATATCTGTTTCTGATCATACCACACCACCCGTGTAAGTTCTCTAGAGGCTGTGGTTGGTGGGAACTATGTTTATAACACAATGCCACTATATATATGTATCTGTTCATTACCTCAAAGTGGGCATGTACAGATTTTTTTTCTTGAATTAAATATGAACCCTACCACTATGCCCTTAGAAACACTGGAAAACAATGGAAAAATCCATACTGGTATTAGTGCCAGCACTGTCAACCTGGTATGAATTCTGGCATACATCAGTTACATAATTAAAATTCATAGCTGGTCTCAACTACATACTGTTTTTTAATGCAGTTATTATTTTTTGCTTTTACACTTTGTTACAAATGTTGTTCATTCTATTTCCCAAAATAAATCAATTAAAATATCATCTTAGTAGCCACCATGACCTGGAGCAGGCAGTTAATATGGATGAATGAATGAACTTTGTAAATGCAATGAACAGCACCTCATATTAATATTAATAAACATGGCCTACATATTTGGCAGCTCACATGCATGGAAGTAAAAACCTTCTCTTCACATGCATTTTGTTTGTTTTGTCCTGCGGGATTCCTGATCCGATACACACAAGATGTGTTGTTGGCAAGCTTTCTAAAAAATTAATAGTGCACCTCCTATTCATATCTGTAGTTGTATCTGTTTAGAGCACATCTGTTCATTCTGAGTAATGCATTAATATTCTGGAAACATCTTCCTCCTTAAGCACGAGACGCATCAAGTTTAATACTGGTGAGCACACCAAAAGTAAGTCGAGCGTGAAAATATTTTAATCTTAGTGAAAAGCCAGTGTGCAAGCCAGTGATTACAGCTTCGTCCCTTGTGTGCTAGTTGCAGACAGACTACATCACCACAAAACAAACCAGACTGAGTTTCTCCTGGCAATCATAAAACATTTATTTTCACAGTTTTTCCCCTATTAGTTTTTCCCCAGCTTTCATGCTTCTATGATAGACTCTTTGACCAGCTGTGGTGTAACCTACCGTAAACAAAAGTCTCAGAAACATATCTAAAAAATCACCCTTCACATCTCTAACAAAGTTAGCAGACAAAAAATAGCCAATATACCAAACATAGTGTGCGCAACATACTAGGCAGAAAACACAGACCATCTTTTTTTAACATAAATTTATGTGGCAGTTTGTTTTAAGAAACAGTTGACAAGCAGATATTTGTTCGTTAGTCTGAAGTGTCTAGTTACATACAGAAAAAAAACCACCCCTCACTTTTAAAGAACAGTACAGCAGTGATGTTGTAAAGACGGCTGTGAACCTATTCTGCCAGCGGTATGACTGCAAGTATGAGTTAGTAGTAAACAAAATGTATACTCTGAGCTCTAAAATGTATACATATCACTATATTAGCAATGCAAAAAGTGTCGTTTATATTGTCATTTAATATTGTAGGAAAATATGAGACTGTGGTTTAATTTCACTTCTGAATGTGGTTGAAATGGGACTTAACACATGTAGGAGCTAAAACAACCAAGTTCTGTAGTATTAGTCAGAAAAATGTACTGGAGTCATTTGTTTGGAGTTGTCATTTTGCTGCATCATATCTGCACCATAGAGTGGTGGAATGAACTTCCAAACTCAATCTGGACCGCAGAATCTGTCACCATCTTCAATAAACAGCTATAGACCCACCTCTTCCATGAACACCTAACCAACCAAAAAACCCCACCAAAAACAAACTTACTCTGGTACTCACACCTCTACTCTGCACACTTTGCTTCTTCTGGAAGTCAATTAATAAATCTTGTATGGTAGCACTACTTGTATTGTTCTCTTCTTGATATATCGCATTGCTTGTATTTTCTCATTTGTAAGTCACTTTGGATAAAAGCGTCTGCTAAATGAATAAATGTAAATATAAATTTCATTTGTAGAGGAGTGATAAATCTGAATTTAAATGTTTTTTAC